TCCCTTACAACTCAGACACATTAGCATGCATACGACAAACCCAAAATAGTCTCAAGAGTAGAACCACAGTGTTGCTATAATCTTTCCTGCAAATTATGAAGTGTGAAATAGAAAGCTGAAAAAAAATTTAAAAATGAAATATTGATAACAACATGTCAAAATTACAACAGTAAAAGTAAGAAAATAAACTCCTTGGCTGTCATCTGTCTGGTGCCTTTTGTAAACTTCTCTGATGCAGTAACATCTTTTCTATTGTAATTCCAAGTTTACTATTCAATAACATCCCAGGAAAAACTCAGATTATACTGCTCATAAAATTGAAACAATGATAAACTATGAGGTCAGTTTCAATTATGAGGTGGGTTAGGTTTTGATTTTAAAGTTTACAAATGCATTTGAGAAGTTATTGTAGGAAATTGCCATTGAAAATTCCACACCAGGGAAAAAAAAGAAAAAAAAGAAAATTTACCTTATTTTTCAAGAGATTCAATCAGAAGTACAACACAAGAACAGTTTTTCATATTTTACCTTACAATTTTTCCAACTTTATTTTCTTTATTCATGGTACTCTTTCATTTAGTAAGTGATATGCACATAAGGTTTTGTCTGATACTCAACTTTTAGTTACTACAATAAAAAGCACCCCCAAAGCAATATGGAAAAATAATCACAGTAATTGCCACCAGTATGTCTAAAATAGCAAACACTGCTGGATATTGAACCTGAAAATATCAGTGCAGCACATTATCTATCCACTATATACAATAATGGGACGAGCAGAAAAAGTGTCAAGGGAACAACTTTTCCCAAAAAAATTGTCACCGACACCATTTTTATATTTTCTCCTTTACAACAGGAGAATAGCAGGATCTAGATTCACATCAACCTGAAAATCCTCCTTCTGGGTTCACTTTGGGCCAACAGTTCATTTCAGGACTCAAACCAAGATTTGCCCTGAGTTTACATCCTACTGTTCCATCCTCCTTTGCTCTACCTAAGATTATCTCTTCTCTTCTCTGTTATTGGTCTGTTCAGCTTTTCACTCCCATCTGCCTTATGTCACTTGAATTTCACTGCTTTCCTAACAGCCTGTAACTGGTCATTCAACAACAGTGTAGGCAGAAAAAGAGAAAATTGCAGATCTGTTGCAAGAAGATTCTGTACATAAATGCTCCTTAAGTATGATCATTTTGTTTTCATGGATTTTTAAACCAAAAGTTACCTTATATTTTCCAAAGTTTTGTATTTTTCAGAAGAACATAATTTTCAGTTCAACTTTAAAAAAAAAACCAAAACCAGAAGAAGCCAACCCTGAAAGAGCAGTTGCTTCAAGGTCACTACTTCAACATGACCAGTCCCTAAGCTTTACTCTGGAAATAGAAATACTGTAGGCTTTGAAAAGAACATTGCAACTGATGAAAAAAGAAATCCTTTTGAGAAGTTTGCCATGATGTTTCAGAATAAACAGTTACAAGATTTAATCAAAGAAAAAAAAATAAGCATTGAGGAGCAGTGCTGTATCCCCTGTAGCTCACATTGCATCAAAACCTTGCATCCCCACAGGTGATTCTCTCTCCAAAGCTGGCACATGACATTAGAGGGGATCTGTATTTTTAACTGGCTTTTTACATTTGCATGCATCCAAAAAAATTAATTTATTTAAATCTCACAACCCAGTAAATCACATGGAGTACCAATCTGATGATAGATTTGTGTAACAAATTCAGAATTGATCTGTCTAAAGAAGAGATGGCTACATCTAGACAGCAGCAAAAACTACAAGATACAGTAAGAATTTAGAGTCTATTCAGACTTCTGAAAATATAACTGTTTTTAAAAGATCAGTAAAGTGTTTTGTTAGGAAGAATCTCAGTATACTAAGTAAAACATGGAACTTAATGAGCTTCCATTATTTCAATTTATCTATAAGCATTCCAAGCCTGCTAATATTTCAAGGTTCACAGCATTCTGGTTTATGATAAAATTAAATCATACAAAATCTACAAGCACAGAAAACGGTCACAAGCTTTGTGAATGGATTTGAATGGGAGCAATTTTTAGAAATTAAGCTTCCTCTGTGCTACTTGGAGATGACAAAATAGATTTATTGATACAAAAAAAATTGCGAGAGGTGTGGTTTTTCGTTTGGGGTTTTTTGAAAGTTTAAATTGTGATAGGATCTCAATATTTTAAAAAAATAGTAATCTTTTACAGTTGAACTATTCTTTCATAACCCTTGAGTTGTATCAGGGAAAAAGCTTTAACAGTACTTTCAATAAATTCAGAGGTGTGAGCATCATGAGTTCCCTCTAATATTGCTAGGCATAAATGGGTAAAGCCTCATACCAAGTAATGTCTTGCTTAATGCTGGTATCCTGCACATGTGAAACCATATCAGAGTACAAATTTCTCTTGAAATATAGATTCTTGTTACTTCCTCTCAGGATGAACACCTAGCAGGTTATTGATCTGCTTCTGAAGGACACAGTGTTTATTATGTAGAAAACCACTGCTGGGCACAAGTGTGAGAAATTAATGATGGTTTTGTAAGTGTCCACACTGTGGTGCTGAACCAGTGGGGCAACTGTCAATCTATATGATAATGTATCCCAAAACTTCATAAAATCAGTGATGTGAAGAAGCATTGATTTTTGAGCTAACCAGGGTTTGTGAGAGAGTAAGGCTAAAAAGTTTACTGAAGTTAACACCTCTGTGTACACAACAGTTGCTTCAAACTTGCGTGATGTTTTTTTAAAACATCCAAACACGCAGAAACCCTTCTCACAGAAACCCAAAATGAATTCCATATACTGGTTTATTACCTGCTTGCTGTTTGATCATGTTGTTCTTTCTCCTATTAATATCATTGTTAGAAACATGAAAAATGGATTCAACGCACTGTATTTCCAATTACTGAATAATTCACTTATTATGGGGAGAAAAATGAAAAACAAGTGAACAGACTCATTCTTTTATCAGTCTGTGACAGTGTGTATAAAAGTGGGTTCTGAGATCATTATGTTTTCTTAGACAAAAGGTGTGACACACTGCTGCCACTGAAATGGAGACAACCACCTGCACAGTGAATTCCTGCTACAGCACTGAAGCCCAATCACTCCATAATGCCAGAATTCTATTAGTCAGGTTTTTAATTTGAAATTACGTTCACAAGCCTCAACAAAACTGTACTAAAATCAATGGAAGTTGTCATATTTTCTGTGAATGGTATTATTAAAAGGAAAAATCAATTAACCAGTCACTGATTCTTTTCAAAACATGGGCTTCCTTGTACAAACCATTATTAGTAAATGCACATTCCCTCCTTAGTTTTGATGAAGAAATGTATCCTGCGATGCCAATGGAGAGGATATATTACTTGAAGATTCAATTGAAATCAACAAAAAAGACTGTTGTTACAAACAAAATCAATTGCACTTTGCTGAACTTCTTCCTATCAACATATAAACTGTAATTTTGCCCTGTTTGCTTTGACAAGCAGTTGCTTCTGTTTCCAGAGCCTGGCACACCCACTCTGCGGAAACCACGACAACTGTCAGTGTGCACAGGGAGGAGCCCAACATAAACACCTACAGAAATGCTCTTCTGAGAGGCACCCAACATGTATCAAACAGAATTTTATCCCAATATGCTCAGAGAGAGCTGGTGTCAGGCTGCTGGAACAGCGCTTCGAGTGTTGATGATGTTAAGGAGGTTCCTCTTCACCTCCTCAGAATGACAAGATGCAAACCCCTTTGTTTCTATTTTAACTAAGCTGAGTTTACACTTTCATCACCCTATAGATGGAGAACAAATTCCTGCAAATCCTTTTGTACTATTTTTTGTCTTGAGCTCTTTAAACCTATGTGAGCCCAGAAAATTCCCCAGGTAAGAACTTGAGGGTGACCCACACCAAGGATGTGAATTTAGATTTGTACCACAGGACAGTGCTGCACACAGGATACTCAGACTCTACTTCTACTGCCAAGCTGTTTGGTGACAAGTGACTGAGGCTGTGCCCAAAGTCCCATTTCTGTGACTTTAAACTACACTAAACACAAGTGTTCTGCCTCAGCCCAATGCACAGATTTGCTTTCCAAAAACTCCCCCAACACCAGTAATAAAAGAGCAAAAGAATTGTTTTTACAACTTCCAAACCATGGAAGAAATACCTAAAATCCAATCTGATTGTTACGAATTAGCATCATTGTTACAGCTATCAGCACATTGTGGATTATTAATATGACTTCAAGCTGTGTAGAAAAATCACATATAAAAACTGTTTCTCTTTGGAAATTTCTTTCTGCTTCTCATCATTAAGTTTAATTTAAAATACTCGGAGCACAAACTTCTGTGACAGATTATGGAATGAAAAGTAAAATGTAAGATCAAACATAATACCTATCATATGATGCACATATACTAGTTTCCTGATAGTGATCCTAAAAAACCCCAAAACTATTGTAAATGCAGGCAACCCCAATGAGGGAAGAGAATAATGAGGAGGATTCCGTCTTATCAGAAGGCTAATTTATTACTTTATAATACTATATTATATTAAAGAACACTATACTAAAGAATACAGAAAAGATACTGATTGCTAAAAAGATAATAGTGAAAACTCCTGACTCTTTCCAGAGTTCCAACACAGCTTGGGCACAATTGGCCAATGAGTCAAAACAACTCACACCAAAGTCCAATGAAACAATCACCTGTGGGTAAACAATCCCCAAACACATTCCACAGGAGCACAACACAGGAGAAGCAAATGAGCTAAGAATTGTTTTCCTTCTCTCTGAGGCCTTTCTCTGCCTTTCAGCTTCCCAGAAGAAAAACCCTGGGCAAAGGGATTATGTCCAAAGAATGTGAATGCCACCCAAAACATGCTAAAAACCAGCTTTAGTCAAACTGAGAAAGTGCAAACGTCACCTTGGAAAACAGAGTGGAGCATTTTTAAGTAGGTTAGGAACAGCAATTAGGAATACACTGAAGTAAATCCCTACCGTTCTCCTCGTCTGACTTGTTGTCGTTGTCGGAGTCGGTGAGCGTGAGCGCCGAGTTCTCGCGGCTGGACAGGCCAGAGCTCCTCCTGGATTTGATGCCTCTGCCCCAGAGCCTGATGGCGTGCTCTGGGGACATCCCTCCCTCCGTGTCCGAGTCGTTGTCGGAGCCTGTGCTCAGGGAGTAGCCCTGGTGCAGGATCCCTATGTCCGAGCAGTACCCGCTCCGGTGCGGAGACGGCTCACAGATCCCCAGCTCTGCAAGGGTGAAGTTTGTTCCTAGAAAAAATAAATAAAGAAAAAAAAAATTAAGCCATTAAAAAAGCTAGAGGATTTATTTTCAGCTTGAAAATATCAGATCTCTTTTTAATTCTGCTCAGTTCTGGTGTATACCAATAAGTTACTTACAAAAATCTCTGGTGCAATGGTATAGCAAGACTTAACCTTGAAAATATTGAATGTATCTAAAATGGATGAAATATACAAAACAAAGGTAGGAAATGTCTCTAAATTCTAGGCTACTCTTTTGGCCCCAAATAATTAATAATGTAATTAACATAAACCTCATGACAAGTGCTAATGACACAACCTGCTTTAGTGTGTATGTAACCTCATATTTGTAGGACTGAGCATGAGCTTTGAAGTCATCCATTTGATTACTCAAAAAGAGAATTTTTTAAATCAAACTCATTTTCACATACACAAGTCATTCACAGAGATAATGGAAGAATGCAACTTTATCAGTGAGGAAACATGGAACTTTGCCACCAATTTTATATTTACATTTAGTGAAACTGGCAATTTAATATCTGGTAAAGAAACCAAGATAGACCTTACATTGTAACTGTTTTCTTTTTCCCCCATATTCCAGAAGAAAGAACGAATCGATACCAAAATCAGGAGGTCATTTGGTTTAAAGGCAAAACTTTCTGAGACAATGTCCAAACACGTGACCTTTAGCAGTTAATAACGACTCCGTGGACAAAATCTTATACATTTTTAAAGCACTCAGAGTCCCCCAGGGTTCTCACAAAGTCCAGAGTTGCTGCCTGATTTCTGCTTATGTACTTGTTTCCTACAGTAATGAACAGGGCAGTAAAAAATAAAGGGAAATATTCACTGGTCTCAAAGGCTTTCAAAGATTTTGAAAAGCAAAGTAATTTGAGCTTCATTACATTGGGTTAAAAACAAAAACCAGACTGAAGTTGCTGGCAATATTACTGCCAATTATTTAACTAATTCCTTAATTCACAGGGAAAGCAGATCTGTGGTCTGTGTTTCTAAAAGAGTAGTTTTATTTAGTCCAAAATTCATTTCTATTTTTTTCATTTTCCTCTATGTATTTGTTATAATGAAGCTACACAATGGAAGTTCATACACTAAATAAAACACACAACTAAGTGTATTCTATTAATAAAGAAGGTAACTAGATTTTTTTTTTAAGTATTAGAATTTCTTTCTCAGATTAGCCATGAAAGCTCATAGAGTTGTGAATCCATCTGGTTCCCCTTTCTGTATCAGCTCTCTCCAGTCTCATATTGAACTGCCAAAGCACATTTTGGATAAGGGGTGTATGCACACATGTAAAATGTCAAACTAGGTCCCAGTTTAAATTTATTCCTGAAGGTCATCAGTTGAAGGAAGGGGATGGATTTCTTGTGGAAGCCTGACCTATGTCCTCAGCCAGCAGTGACCAGGCTTGCCCGTGGCTCTGTCACCCGGAGGTCAAACAGCCCCAAAGTGACACCAGCACCAGGGGGAGAATTCTCACCAGACAACGCTTCCCAAGGAATGGAACATGTAGTGGCTATGTGCAAAAAGAATTTTAAAAGTCTGACATGAAAAAAGCCAGCTCCAAATTAACCCAAACTCCTCAGAAATTTAGTGGTTTAGTCAAAAGCAAATAACTAAACAGTTCTAAAAATGAGCTTCTCAGGTGCACTTCAGTCTAGAGATATTTTGCTTGTTGTTGTCTTTTTGCCTTTTTTTTTTTTAATAAGTGAAGAGTTCTAGCATGACAGATAAAGCTACTGTTAAGGGAAATGTAAACTTTAATCATGTGCAATTTCAGTAGAAGACATTTAACAAAACCAGTTGGATTGATTAGAGTTTTGCTCCAGCCATATAAGCAAACTAAGGTTAGACTTATTAATAAAAAGATAAAAATCAAACCAAAATGAATATAAAAAATGAACTGAACTGAATCATAGTAGCCCACCCAGGTAGAAAAATGTTGACATTAGATACATGTTAAAATTAATAAACTCATAATGAAAATTCGGTTTTTCAAATTTTCTTGTTTGCTGGTGGCATGTCTAAATTATGAATATATTAGCTAAATTAAGCTGTTGTACATACACAGTAAACATTTTGATGATATTTTGTGGATTTTAACAGCCCTTACAAGCACAGATGATTTCACTTTGATTAGCATCCTGTTCTTTGTCTGAGGAAAATGGTATAGGCACTGAAATACACTATTCACAGAACTCATTCACCCATTTGAGTTTTATTATCTGGGAACTTGGAATTTTCCAGTAACTGACAAAATTTTTAAAAAATTGAGAAGTGGATCATATCAAGAGCACAAATGGAATCAGCCTCTGAACCTCTGGGATAGGATTTTCTATGCTACTTCTCAGAAATCCCTTTATAGTCCTATGACATGATGGTAGACATGAAATATTCTAGAAATTTCCCTATCAAGTAAAGACATGTTATTTGGTGGTAGATTTTAAATTAGTTTTATATACTAACTTGTGGCATTTGCTTCTACAAAATATTATTTGAGACTTTTCTGTAAGGCAGCATATAATGGCAATGTAACTTGTCCTTGGATAATCATTTTTTAACATCTACATGCACACATATATAAGAGAGGTTTTCAGATATGTATTTCACATCTAAAAATATAGAAATGTATCTCTATAATTCCTGATACTTTCCTAGCCCTTAATTTACTGTAAAATCTGAGAAAAGAAAGATTAAAAACACTACAGTTATATTCTCTAGACCTTTTCTTATTCTGGACCATGTTCTCCTACATGTCTTGTACTAAAATGAAACTTCCCACATGACCTGAATGACATATGAACTGCTTCCACTAACATATTCTTCTCTCCTTTACTCAGCCATTGTTGCACATTAGATACCAATGCCATCAGATGACCACCTGTAGACCTTGTATATTCATCCTTGTATATTCACATAGAGGATAAATAAAATCTAGATGCACAGAATTAATTTGTCCAGTAATCCACAGAATAAGCTGAGTTGGAAGGGAACCATTGAGTCTGACTCCTGGCCCTGCACAGGACAGCCCAACCTTCACACCCTGTGTCTGGGAGCATTGTCCAAACACCTCCCAAACTCTGCCAGGCTGGTGCTGTGACCTCTTGTGCCCAACCATCTCCTGGGTGAAGAATCTTTTTCTAATGTCCAACCTAAACCTCCTGACACAACCTCAGGCCATTCCCTCGTGTCCTGTCACAAGTCACCCTAGAGAAGAGATCAGTGTCTGCCCCTCCTTTCCCCTCACAAGAAAGAGGACCTTCTGTACCCTGCTGTATATGGAATGATGTCTCTCCTCATTCCCCTCCTCTACAATTCTACAGATCAAGTGCCCTCAGCAGCTCCTCTCACGGCTTCCCCTCAAAGCCCTTCCCCATCCTGGCTGCCCCCCTTTGGGCATCCTAACATTACTTTGCAGACAAAGTATAGTCTTATAAAAGATGAAAAAACACCCAAGTCATCCCATGTCCACTCAGCCCGGAATACTGCATGTGGAATCCTGATGACAAAGTTCAGCAGGAACAACCCAGCCCTCCTTGCCCCAGTGCAAACCACAGCACTCACACACTGGAGAGAGGAAAGGCAGGCACAGTCTGGCCTGGGCTAAAGGTTTAGTGTCTCCTTCAAGGATTATCATCTGATAGAGGGAGCTCAGGCACAGCAAGACCTCACAGGGGACAAGCAGGGCAGCAGTCCCACTGCCCGCCGTGCCCTGGCCAGTCACACTGCTCTGCTGTGTGCCCACAGACACAACAGTGGGCCACGAGCCAAACTGCACTGCCAGCACGAGCAGGCAGGCAAGGGTTGGCTTCTTACAGCCTGAGACATCACCCCCTACACCTGGGGCTTGCAGGGAGCTGAGAGGAACTAAATTGCCCCTCCCTGAAATGTCACCTGAAAAGCAGAACTGAAATGTGCAGGCAGAATCCATTCCTGCACACTAAAAGCCTTTTTCCAGATTCTTGTAGCATCTACTACTTTGGTGGTGACACTAAGAGAAAAGAGATAGATAACATCGGATCCTTATTGGTGGAAAAGAAAGAAACTCCTTTGCCTTGAAGAACACAGCACCAAAAATAGAAATTCACAAGGTTTTGCTTTTTCACATGAAACAGAGCTTAGCAGTCTCCATCCTCAGTCCCTTCATGCCCTCCTGCAGAAATCACTAGATGATTTTCATTAAAGGAAGTCAGTTAAACCCAGCTGCTCCCTTAAGGTGAACATAATCTCTCATACAAAAACAGATCAGCAGTGTTCTAGTTTAGCAGTGTAATAAAATGTTATGTACTTGATCATCATTGCCCATAATCTACATGCTGTGAATAGTCTCTCAATAGAATAGATGTTTTCCTTTAAACAAGGACATTACTTCTATTATCTCTTTAGTGCACTTCCTTTACAGAAATTTACTGTTTCAGTTATTTAGGATATAAACACTTACAGGGTGTTGAATTCAATGATGTACTACTGTACTCATTATCCCTGCTAAGCCTAGAAAGCATCACCATTCAAGCAAAGGTTACTTTCCCCTAACCCCTAGGCAAAGGTCTCATTTGGCTGATCACAAACTGCATGAATTGCCCTTCTGAAGATTAATCTAATCCAGCTGTGATCGCTACAAGATGCCTCAGAGGAAGATCTCTGAAACCAGTAATGCACAGATAAGATAAATTTGCCTTCAACAGGACATCAAGTTCAAGACTGGGCTAAGTCTAAAATCAAAAGAATAAATATAACTCACAGTCTTTGCTATTACAATCAGTTACAGAAAATAAGAATAATAAATATATTGATTTAAGACATTCCATCCTTTCTCAAGTTCTTGTTATGTTCACAGCTATAATGATTTTGCTGGCAGGAGTTCCACAATTTAGGTCTAATCTCTGGAAGTGGTCTCTCTTTTTAAAAGAACCTCTGCTGCACACTTAATTTTGCTCAGTTCTTTATAAATTCAATCTGCTCTGGTCTCTTCTGCAGCAAACTAACTA